TCATCAAGAGTACCCAGAAAGACATGTGACCTCTGCAGACAGCCTACTAATGTGTCTCAGTCTCACAAGGCCTGTGGGGTGGTAAGTTCATCTTGGTCCTGTCCTCTTTCTTTAGGGCCATTCTCATTGACCCTCACCCCACAGCAGCATCACAGCAGGGGAGTGCTGGAGAGTCCAGGATAACTGATTATGCAATATCCATAAACCCGAGACATAGACAAAGACCAGGAGAGGAAAGGGAGTAGAATTTCACAACATGCCCAGCAATCACAACCAGCATGACACATGGAATCGCAGGCTTATGGCAGGGATGAGGAAATCCGAAGAGGGGTTACCAATGACAAGCTGGTCTCGGGCTTCCATGAGATACATTTGGCTGGGCTCCTAGGGCCTTTTGAATTTCTCAACACTCTGACAGTCTATGATTAGTGTGTTTAATGGACCAGTTTAAAATGGATAGAGAAGCTTCCATACTAGAACATTTTTATCAGACTTTTTTTTCATTTTAATGCATCCAAAGTCTGTGTGTAATGGATAAGAATAGGCATGGTTATTTATAATGTGAAAGTGAACCAGCTCCATCTATGTAGACAGCAATCTTCCTTGAACTATCTTTGTTTGCCCCCATTGTTCTCTGTCTCTCAGGGAACAGCCAGAAAAATCACACTGTTCAACCGAATGCACATCTTTCTACCTCCAAATCCTACTGTGGAGAGAGAAGTTAAATACCACAGAATGCTGTGGTTAGAGACAAAAACAAGCAAAAAACAAACAACCTTTTTAGAAGGCCTGTAGTAATTCTTTCTATAGAGTTCATTTCCATGCAATGAAAGACGCTAAGTCATGACACCGTTTGTCATTTGTCTATATTTTACTTTCCATATTCACACACATATCTTCCAGTCCAAAGTTCTCTCTCAAAATTCCCAGAAGAAAAATCTGCCTTTTTCTCCAATTGCTCCCTTGCACCACCACTATCCCCCGTCAAGAAGAAAGCATAGGCTATGGGGGCAGCAGACTTGAAAGACTCCTAACTCCGATAAGGAGAACTGAACAATGTACAACAGCATGTGCCATTTGTACAGCCCTGCCCCTCATTTACAACCCTCCTTACCGTGAATCATCTCAAGTTTCTGAAGAGGTATGAATTGTGTTTAATTAAAGCCTGAGTGATGGAAGTGGACAGAGAGTTATTTCAGCCCCTCTTAGCCAGTTTTCAGAGCTCCGTTGGAAAAGGTTAGGGGGTGGTAGGAGGCAAATACCACTCCTCTCTAGCAGCTGCCAGAGACTACTGCCGTCAGAGTAATTATCACCAAATAATTGTCCCCTTTCTTCCCTGCTGACAGGGCAGAGTGGGAGCAGGGACTGAACTGAAATAGATTTTGTGCTTGCTGAATACTAGTTGGGTGGCTCAGGTCAACGAGCATCCAGAGACACTTTCGGCATCTTGCCTGTTGACCTTCGAGAGAAACTAAAATTCACACGGTACAAAGCTGTCAAATGTCACCTGCTTGGGCCTACACAAGATCTCTTAAACTAAGCAACCATGATTAGAGCAAGTGCTTGTTTTAGTCTATTACAAATTCTCCTCTTCTGGAGATTATTCCAGGAGATGGGAACAACAGGATCATTTCCCCTAAGTCCCGAATTGAAGACAACTATCTGACTTATCTCTGTAGCCCATATCCCCCCCCTGCTTTATGACCCTCACTGAAAGGTTATTAAATCTCTATTTGGCTTGTATCTGGTATAGTCACAAAGTCCAAACTATCCACAGGACTTCTCAAAGTTGTCATGAGACTGACAGGCTCCAACCAAGTGAACAGGCTTTCAAATTCAGTGGTTTCAGTTTCCAGGCTACTGTCCACCCAGGAATGGTGGAACTGTTGGGAAATAAGCCTTGCATCCTGAAAGGTATGTGGGTATAATTCTCCACAGGATGGAGGTGAGAACAAAGTAGGATGAATTTAAAGTAGAAATAAGGAGGTGAACTTCTCTTTATTTTTTTTCCCTTGAGAGGGATTTCAGTCATGTGTGCACATGCATACACATGCACACATGTGCCAGTATGCATGCATTTTGTACACATGTGGAGGTGAAAGACAAACTTGAAAACTTTTCCTCAAACACCACTCACTTTTTCTTTTTAAGATAGACTCTCAGTGGACTGAAGCTCACCAAGCAGGCTAGGCTGGCTAGCCAGTGAGTCCCAAGGATTTGCCCACCCCCACCTCCCCTGCAGTGGGGTTACAACTGCTCCTCTCCACACCTTTTTGACATAGGTTCTGGAGATCCAACTCGGGTTCTCATGCTCACATCGCAGCACTTTATCAAACAAGCCATCTTCCAGCCAAGGGATTATTTTCATTTCATTGAACAATCCTAAATCATTATCTGATGTATGCCAGACATCATACTAGAAGCTTCAGGGGCAGGGGGAAAGGGGCCTTGGGGTACCCAACACAAGTTCTGACCAATAATGAGTTCACAGTGGAGTCCTCAGTCTTCCGAAAGATCTTGAATGGTACAAAGACTAATTAGGAGAGTCATGAGTGTTTGGGACTTGCCTCTACTTCCTGCCTCTATAAATTAGGGCTAAGCATCCTCTCTGGCCTCTCACTGATCTCACAGGACTGCTGTGACAATTAAATGAAATTGAACAGGCACAATATCTTTCTAAATTGCAAATCATTATGCAGATATGAATATTAGGATAATTATGGTTCTCTGGGAGAACCACTAGATCCCTACTAGCAATGCCACCTGCTACATAAACAGTAACCCCACCCAGAAACTCTGTCTCCTAAATTCCCTAAAACTTAGCACAGAAGAAAAAGCAGGTGGCTTTCCTCACGAGGCAGGTGTGTTCTAAGCATGTGTGTGGGCCTGGTACCCAGAGCATAATGCTGACACAGACTTATTGGGTGTCCCACCATTCCATGGGGCGGGGAAGGGGGGGTTGGGACTAAGCGGCTGCTATCACTGTTGGTGGGAAAACTGGTCTGGAATTACATTTGGGTTTTTGTTTTGTTTTTTTGAGGGATAGTTGGGAGAGGTTAAGACAGGGTCTCCATGCATAATCCAGGCTGAGTTTAAACTCACGATCTGACAGTCTCAGCCTCATGGGTGCTGGGATTGCCAGCATACACCACCACAACAGGATGCAACCATACATCTTAGCAGCTATGATTAGTCAATGTCTTATGTAATGTTAGTAGGCAAATCTTGCAGTGATTTACCATAGACCACAACCATAGAGGCTCTCCCATCCTTCCTCTCTAAGCAATTCTTTTTAAATTTTACAAACTTGTGTGTGTGTGTGTGTGTGTGTGTGTGTGTGTGTGTGTGTGCGCGCGCGCGCGTGCATGCATGCGAGCGTGCGTGCGTGCACATGCCATGGCAAATGTATGGAAGTCAGAGGATAACTTGCTGAAGTCAATTCTCTCTTTCTACCCTGTGGGTTCTGGGGATCAAACTCGAGTATCAAGCTTGGTGGCATGCATCTCTACCCAGTGAGCCACCTCAACACCACCTACACCAGACAATTTCTTCTTAGGTACTTTCATGATGGTCATGTTTTACCCAGACACCCCCCCCCCGCCCCCTCCAAAAAAAAGAATCAGTACTTAACCTCAAGACTCTAGAACTTTGAACTTGGGCCTAAGTCTCAAGCCAGCTTCAAGGGTGTAAAACTTCAATAGAAGGAGAATTCACTGTCAGATTCCACCTCATGCAGAGACAGCACAGTGGCCCCAAACACATGGCAGCCTCCACTGCATTTTTTCTAAGGAAGGTAAGATGATGACATTCCTTTTTGTTTTTGTATCTTTAAGAGGTATCTTAAATTCTTTCCTCTATGTTTTCCTAATCTGCATGGTATGTATGTCAACTCTCTCAGGGCACACTCACACTCATTCATGAATTGACCTCCACCACCAGCAGGAGCAGCAGCATGGCTATCACCACCACCACCATGGTTATCACAACAAAACAGGATCCATGACAGCCAAAACAAGCAGTCACACCTATTTATCCAGGCACCTCCCACAGTTGTTGGAGACCTGGGAAAAGAGTCTGGTTGACAGCATCAGCCAAGTGGGCCATAAATGAGTTCCTCTACATGTAGCTATGTGATATGGACTTTTACTTTGAGAACCCAGCTCCAGACTAGACCCAGCAGGGGTCTGGGGAAAAGAGTTCAGTGTGAAAGAGTGCTGGCTGCATAGACATGAGGACCAAATCTCAAATCCCCACAACCCACAGTGCCTGTGATTCCAGCACTGTAGCCTTCTACAGTGGCAGGCAGATCACTGTGGCTTGTTGGCTGCCAACATACGTCCAGGTTCACTGAGAGACTCTGTCTCAAAAGATTAAAGCAGACACTAACAGAGCAAGACACAGGATATCCTCTTCTGGCCTCAGTGCTCACACATGGGTTTGTGCACCCTCACACATGTGTACTACACACACACACACACACACACACACACACACACACACACTCACACACACACACACAAAACCAGTCTCTATGAGAAGTCTGTCTACCCTGCAGTGGCCAACAGAGAAGCTCAACTACATGTGTGAGAAGACCACTAGGAAGGACAGAACTATATCCGAGTACTAGAATTTATAACAGCACTGAGTAAGCCTCCATGACATGGAAAGCTGAGGATGGTTCAAGTCAAACCCATGGCGTTCACACAAGCTCACTCTCCTGTCCCAAACCCTCTTCTTTTCAGCTGCTCTCTGCAGCATGGGGTTTGTAAACCAATCTTAAAAGGGAAAACTCTCCTGAAACCAAAGAAATCCATTTAGTCCTGAACAAAGGTGAATATTTGGGGGTGGGGACTACAGGGGAAAAAATCAATTAAGAAAAAAAGGAAAAATGCACACATGACTCTGGAGTCAGACCTCAAACAGGGTTGATGGCAAGGGCTTCCAACTCTCACATTCGGTCTCTACAGAAGTCAACCTGGCACCCTGAACACACACTTTACCTGCTGAACTTGCTGCATGGGCAGACTCTTCCCAGCAGGCAATGCAGCCTCATCACCCAAGCAGCATCACCAGAACACCAAAACCATAGCACTGGTGAGAAGTGTCACCAGAACATCAAAACTGTAGTAATGGCGAACTCCTTTGCGCTGTCCTTGTCCTACAGATAAGAAACAGGCACGTGTTGAAAGGACTTACTCAGACCCTGGTCTCCCAGCACCTCCCATCCACTCCCGCACACAAGTCTGTAGATGATACCTGTTGGCTTTCCTGTATTCTGTGTAGGTCCCGGGCTTTCTTTCTAAATGGAGCCTGCCTGCAAGCTACCAAGTTGTCAAACCCATGGGAAAGAATGGTTAATTTTCAAATCAGTGCATTGATTGTGCTTCTGTTAAGTCACCAAATGCAGAATGCCATGAAGGTGATCCCAGCAGTGGATCTGGACCTCAGCGAAGTCCAAGTATAGCTATGTATGCAACACATGCCTTCCACCCTCCTGCTGGCCTCTGTCCCCCTCACTGTCACAGGCCCCCTCACTCTAGGAGTCTGTCACACCCAGCCACCATGGTTGAGGCTGAGGATATACTAAAATTCTGTGTTAGTTATGCAGAGAGGGAAAGAATGGGTTTACTAGTGTTCTAGTCTGTGTCAGTTGGACAAGCAGCACCTGTGGGGGCCTCATCACAGGTGGGCACATACATGGTTTAACTAAGAGTTTAATATAAAGCTGCTAAGAGTAGATAAGTCCTAAATCCCTGGGGCTTAGATCCAAGCCTGACATTGCATTCCTTATGGGCTACGTTGGTAGTGGAGGCTCACCTCATCTCCTGGCCCTGACTGGCCTCTAGGATGTGCCCCATTGCAGTCAGGCTCTCATTCTCAATGCCTGGGGGTTGGAATCTTCTTCTCTTCTACTGAAGATCACCATGGCTGAGGCCCAGATACTCTTTCCTCCACTTCACAGTCTCCTCTAATTTGTCTGGATTGTCTGTGACATTGATGGGTCTGGTCCTCATCAAGTTCCCTCGAGTGCTCTTGGAGGCTTGCCCTTTGACTTACTTGCTTTGGGCTTTTCCTCAAGGAACCATCCTTATTGCCCTGCTGATGGCCAAGCTTCACTCCGTCCAATTCACAAGCTTAGCAACAGAAGGCTGCTTCCTTCTCCACTCTCCCACTTCCTTCCTTTAAGGAGCACGGGTGATATTAACTCCTCTTCTCACTGATAGTCTCAGCTCACACCAATGGTCAGGAATGACCTTAGGCAGAGAAGCAGGGCTTGCTTAGTCTATATTTGAACCCTGGGGGTGGCCAAGGGAACACAAATGGGTCAACAGCCGTCCCTGCTCCAAGGGCAGCCATTGCAGCTCCTTAGTTGTCCTCTGTGTGTGGTCTTCCAGAATCTAGCTTTGACATGTATCAAGTGCCTGCCATACAGAATAGAGCAGGCTGGGGCAAATACAAAAATGTGAATGACAGTCCATTATCATGCAGAGCTTTGCGTGTGTGTGTGTGTGTGTGTGTGTGTGTGTGTGTGTGTGTGTATACCTCTGTGTGTGTACATGCCTCTGTGTGTGTATGTGTGCATGCCTGTGTGGTGTGTGTGTGTGTGTGTGTGTGTGTGTACCTATGTGTGTGTGTGTGCACACCTCTGTGTGTGTTGCCTGTGTGTGTGTACCTGTGTGTGCACACCTCTGTGTGTGTTGCCTCTGTGTGTGTGTGTGTGTGTGTGTGTGCGAGAGAGAGCGAGAGAGAGAGAGAGAGAGAGAGAGAGAGAGAGAGAGAAATGTGTATATATGTAAGGAGACAGCAGGTCAACATTAGATATATTCTTCAGTCTCCTTCAACCTTACCTTTTCAACAGGGTCTCCCACTAAACCTAAACCTCACAGATTTGGCTAGACTGACTGGCCTCCAAGGCCCAGGGATCATCCCATACCCACTGCTGTACCCACTTCCCTAGTGCCGAAATTGGCAATATGCACTGCCACACACAGGAGTTACAAGAGTGCGGGATCAAACTCAGGTCCCACTTTATCGATTGAGCCATCTTCTCCGACTTCACATGCTTTTGACATGATATAGGACACAAGCAGAAATGCAGGTCAGTACAAAGAGAAAGGAAACATGACAAGTGCCATAGTTGGGTAAGAGCCAGGAGAAGAGATTGACCCTGACCAGAGGCAGCAGACTATGGGTATACTCTTCCAGTGCCAAAATATTCTCAACACACACCAACCCAACAAATATCCACTTCCCAGCAAAAGCAAGAAAGGAAACATTCTTTCACAAGGCCCCAGAGCTAGGAAACAGCAAGAAAATGACAACCATTTTATCTCAATCCATAAAAGGAAATGAGCCATGAATTTCAATATCGCTCGGCCTAGAAACCTTCATAATGGCGTCACAAGAGCAAGATATTTCTCCCACAGCTTTATTTGATCATGATTGTACAGCCTGTTCCCGGGTGTAGATATGAGTTGTTAACTGATGTGTGAAGCCCCCTCACTCAATGAGCATGGTCTTTTCCTGCCACCCCCACAAGGCAGCCATTCTTTGTGGCCTCACCCTGGAAGGACAACAGTGGAATGAGGCAAAATGAGATCAGCAATTTTCTAAATCCAGGTGTGGAAGGTGGATAACTCCAACATGAAAGACAAGGGCTGGGGTGCAGGGGGTAAGAACAGACAACAGATTCGTGACTCAGCCCACATTCATGGAAAGCCAGGGTTCTGCTGGGAGAATCTCAAGCTTTCATTTTGTGGTATTTGGAGGCTTAATTCCCAGCTTCTAATTAAATGTATAAACTATAATCACAAAGGTATTTCACAATTAGTTTCTTAGATCTGGAAGACATTCTGTGAATCAACTTGAGATGAGGGGAAGAAAGGAGAGGCATGGAAAAGGGCACAGAAAGAAGGGTGAGCATTATGAGCTCCAGGAGTCTGCAAGGAGACTCAGGACTGGGATCCTACACCCGGTCCTGGAGAATGGTAGATGGAGAAGAGTGAAAAGGAGGTGAAAGATTCCTTCATTTCATCCAGATCTTATTTTCCCTACCCTTTCAGCTGTCACAATCCAAACCAGACTCAGAAGCAGCAACTGCACCTCCAGGTCACTCAGGTCCATCCATGGGCATGCTCTCGTTTGCCATCTTCTCAAAAGTTAGAGGCAGATGGGTATTGATAGGGGCAGGGCTGTGTGGGTCTGTTCTGTGGTGACAGACTAGAACTCCCTGCTCTGGTCATTGTTCTCACAGTCAAGAACATTGGGTGGGAATACTCCTGGGTTTCTCTCCTAGCTCCTGCAAAGAAACCCTGGAGTACTATGGCCAATCTACACAAGTCCTCTACCCCAAGATGTTTCTACATAAGGAGTCACTATGCTGGGATGGGGGTGGGGTGGGGGTGTATCAAGGTTCAGGGGGAAATTGTATGACTTCTGGAAGAGAAAAATATATCAAAGCCCAGCACATGGCAAAATGTGAGGTCTCAGTACTACAGCCCAGGCTGCTCTGTAACCACCTGCCTGGTATATCTTGACAACACCACAGAACAATATAGTAGAGACAGACCCTAGGTCACAGGGGCTTGCCCTTCCTCCATAAAGAGATATGCTCTTGTCTCTGACATTTGAAACCAAGTCTGGTATATCTCCTTTTCCATATCCTCCAAACATTTTGGGATAAGTAAGAATAAAATAATAATGTGTGATTTATGGAAGGCCAAGAATGTATCAACTGCTTCCAGGTCAGTATCTGAGATTACAAGAGCCCTGAAAGGGTTAAATATCGGCTTCCTCCACCTTACAGATGGCCTCATGGTCAAGTCTGAGGAGTTTGCCACAAATCACTAAGTGGCCTGGGTGCTCTGCGTCGAAGTTCCACTGACCACAAAACCTAAGCTCCTCCTATCTCCATGAACTCTCAGACTCCACTGTCCTGAGCTCCTGCCTTATATTCTTCTCTAGTTCTGGGATTAAATGTGTGTCATCCCAAGTGGGAATCAGAGAGCTCTGTTAGCCCAGGGTGGCCTTGAACTCACAGAGCTCCCTCTGCCTCTGTCAACCGAGTGCTGGGATTAAAGGAGTGGCCACCAATGCCTGTCCTCTACAGCTAACTAGTGACTGCATTCTGATCTATAAGCAAGGTTTGTTAGATCATAAACAAAATATCACATCACAGGACCTCTTCATTGATCCTTTGTGTTGAGGAACCAGTTGATGAACACACCACTCTCTAAAACCAGAAGTGAAACTACACAGTAGAGTTGTCATGGCAGTATCCTCAAATAACTCATGCCAGCTTCTCACTGTAGCCTTCTGAAGTAACTGGTCTTGAGTTGTCAGAGTTATGTGGGCTGGGAGCACCCAGGGCAGGAAGCATCTGGGGCTCTGCATTCACACCATACAGATGTCATGTGAGGGCTAAAGTTATGTTTTAGGTTTAAATTACTGTGCTTAAGAGATCTATAAAACAAAAATGCCTCTGATCTATAAGCCCCAGTTGCCCAAGGACAGATAACTTCCTGGAATTCGGGGGCTGTTGTTCATGTAAGATAACAAGCCGCATGTTTTCACTTCTGTAAACAAGGTTTGTTACCCCAACTGTACAAGATGTGCTTGATCACACCTCAGCAGGAGGTTCTCAGGCAGGCATTATGTCAAGATGTATGCTTGCCCCAGGTTGGACAAGGGCAGGAAGTATGTGGCCTTGTGGGGTTTGTCTTTAAAAGCACATGACAAATGTGATTTGCAGCAATTCTCTTGGAATCCCAGGTATGGACCTGGCCAGTGTCCACCATCCTGGCCAGTATTTAATAAAGCTTGCCTCAAATTTGGCTCAAAAATTGTGGTAATGGTCTTATTCTTGCCAAGTAGGATTAATGGTTGTAGCCAAACCATGCTGTAGTATGGTGGTAACCCAGCTCCTTCTCTCTGCTGAGGTGACACAGTCCACAATGCAATCAAGACTTCATAATTGTCTGCAAACTCAGCTACCAGTAGCACTTGCCTGAAATCACCCATCGCTCTTTTTCTCCTCTGAGCTGGCTAGTACCCCAGCGTTATTGTAATCGTTTCTTCTCAGAGTGCTTTGCTACTAAATCCCTTGCATAAAAACCCTCATCTCAGGTCTACCTCCAGAAACTCCACCTGAGACAAATTGCTAGTCTCCCTCTGTTTTATCAAACTGTTCACCTTATTACTTTGTGCAGTAAACAAACCAGTCTCTCGGAGGAAACAGAATTTTCCCTTGGGACAACAAGAATGAAAGTTGCAGGCATGAGTAGCTAGGTGAAATGTAACCCAGCCTCCCCAGAAAGTCCCTCTGAAGGAGACCTCTGCACAGCAAGGGCTTCCCCTTGGACCCTGGGTTAGGCACAAACCACACCCATGTACGTGTTTTCACAGAGCTCCTTTATTAAATAGGGAAGAAATGCTAAGGTGGCTGCTTTCTGACTCAGTCGGACAACTGCCACAAATGACCTTGCAGGTGTAATTTTTAAGAAGAGAAAAAGGAGAGATCTGTGTGGTGGTATATTTTGATCAGACATGTTAATCAGGTGAACCAAAGAGGACTTCTGATTGCTGGACTTCAATACTTTGGTAGCTGGACATTGGTGGCCGGCTTTAGGAATGCAGAGGAAACTAGGGAGAAGGGCAAGGCCTGCCAGAGCCATATGCTTGAGTGGGCTAGTGTCCCTTCAACCTCCATTTTAGAACAGCAAACCTCACAAGGGAGAGTGGCTCCTCAGGCATCTTACAAAGCCTGCACTCAAGGACATTTGTCATAGACATTTATTCAAATTTGTTTTCTCTCACCTCCTTAGCTTTTAAAATCTCTGTTGACTGGCAATTACCATCAGCTGGAGGACCCTGAGAAGCAGTACAGATCAGGGAAGGGATTATCTAGGGAGCCAGGCTTCTGTTCTTACAGGTCCCTGTGGTAACATGGTCACAGAGATCAACACAGACCCACCTGCAGCAGGACCATGGACCCAGACATGATCACTGGCAGCAGCTAAGGTCCTGACATCACCAGGGTAACACAGGCCACCCAGATCAGTATAGCCCTGGCAGCAGCATGGCCCTCTGACACCAACATGGTCTCAGGTGGCTGGCCAGACCCTGGGCATCTGCCTGGCCCTCAGTGGTAACAGGAGACATGGACATGAACTCACACTCTGGCTGAGGCAGGGCCATGGACCCAGACATGGCCTTTGGCAGCACCTTGGGCCCAGATGTCACCATGGCCCTGAGT